TGCCCGGCAGTTGTTCTTTCAAGTAAAAATTTTGTTTTATAAAAAACAGCTAGTTCAGATCAATATTCAGTCTCACAAATGTTTTTTCTAGAGACAGCCATTGTACTTTGAAATGCAGCAAAATTACTTTACGTGTATTTCCCATTTGATAACAAATCATTTCTAAAGGGTGAAGATTTTTTTTAATGACTTTTATTCAAACAGGAAGATTGAACAGGGCAAGTGATCTGCACAGTGAGGGTCTCTATGGTTCTCAGATTCAATACTTTTTTGAGGCTGCTGTGCCTATTTGAGGATATGAGCTTTTTTGTAAATACCCGATTTCTGCATTCCAAAATGACAGACAAATAACCAATTCTTAATATCTGTGAGGACAGGGCATGCTAGTGGATAATAAGATGAGCTTTTCTCTGTTTGTAATTTGGTCTTATTTCTCAAATCCTCAGTAGTCATTTTAGTCCTCCTTCCAACTAACCCTTCTCTAGAGTAATACACCCTGGCAGGATACTTTATTGAGACTGTAACTGTATAGTTTCTAGGTGTTCCCCATCTCAAGATTTTGTATGTTACCTTGCCTCAGGGTCCAGTGTGGCTGGGCCAACAATGGGAATTGCCTTCATTCTACAGATCTAGGAGGATACACAGTGCCTCCCTTGTAGAATTTGCAGTCTTATTTACGAGTTAGGATATTCACACCCTTCTAATACAAATGAGTGCACAACCATACATACACACACACACACACACTTCCAGTGGTGTTCCAAAATAACCCTCAGAAATCTATTAAGTGATTTTTAAAAGGAGGTCACTTTAAATAGGGGTTACAAGGAGAAGGAGTGCTAGGCACCTTGATACTGTCATGCTAGATCAGAGTTTCTCAAAGTGTGGTCTGCAGGCTTTCAGGAAACTTTGAGATCCTACCAGGGAGGCTGTGATGTCAAGACTGATAACAGGATAACAATAAGACAGTCTGTCTTTTTACTTCGCTCATTTAGCACAGATGGCTCCATAAAAATGGGAGAAAGGAGTCAAATACCTGGCACTTTAGCAAGAACCAAGGCAGTAACATGAAACTGTACTAGTAAACAATGCAGGGCGTTATTTTATCTACATCTGATTTACAAGTTCTAAGGTGTAAGCAGTGCAGGAAGCATTCAAGTTATAGGTACAGGCAGGGCGCGGCAGCTCACACCTGTAATCCCAGCAGTTTGAGAGCCTGAGGCTGGTGGATCAGTTAAGGTCAGGAGTTCAAGACCAGCCTGGCAAACATGGCAAAACTCCATCTCTACTAAAAATACAAAAATTAGCTGGGCATGGTGGCAGATGCATGTAATCCCAGCTATTCGAGAGGCTGAGACATAAGAATCACTTGAACCCAGAAGGCAGAGGCTGCAGTGAGCCGAGATCATGCCACTGTACTCCAGTGAGACTCTGCCTTAAAAAAAAAAGTTATTTGTATAATCCGCTTTGTTGTCAGATGCTGTTCAGTTTCCACTGACTTCTGAAACATGGGATCCTGGTGGACATATCACCTTGTGACGGTTGTGCATCTATCATTGCTGGGCAGCCATGCGCTGATGATCAGAATCCTGCTGGGTGGTGGGAGCCGTTTTCACTAAGAACAGTAGCAAGATTCTGATGATAACAGAGATAGTGATATTAGATCACAGCGCGCATGCTTCGGAGACAGAGAACCAAGGCCTAGCTCCCTGAGCCAGCCTCATGCCTGGGGCATCTGCACATAACCCAGACCTAAAGTTGCCAGTGCACTTATCTCCTTTAAATCATGATGTTAACTTGCACTACTTTTACCAGGTCAGCTCCAGGGTTTTAAACTCCCCAAAAACAAATCAAGATCAGAAAATCCTGTTTAGAGGAATATGCATAAATACCTGATAACAGGATCTACACCAGAGTCCCAATTGCTCAGCGTGGCCACACTATTCTTCCCCAATCCAGATCCCAAGTATCTATTAATACATTTACACTTAAATATTTACATATGACTAGTGCCTACTTTATTGGACAGCTCAGTTCCACAGTCTCCAAACACAGGCCTTACATCAGTTCCAAATTTCTTACATTTCCCCGCCAGATGATTCCTCTGACCTTGGCCTAAGCACTGATTTCCATCACTGGGCAATGTGTTTCTTTTTCTGTATTTTAAATGGGGCATGCATTTCATTATCTACCCTAGCCTGGGTTCCCCCAAAACTGAGCCTAAGGCAATATCTTATGTGGAGCTAGTTTCTTTGAGAATGTAATCATAGAAAAGAGGAATATCAAATAAACAGAGTGAGGTTAGGCAAAAGGAAAAATCAATATATTACAACGCGTATGTTACTGAGTAGGCAACCAATAAGGGTAACCAGAACTTGATCCTCAGGATCTGAGCTGACAGAAAATTATGTCACAGAAGGGTTTCCCCTAGAAATGAAAGAGGAAAGCATTATCTACCAGCTCATGTCCTCCACTGGTGAAGTGTGGCCACCAGATGCTAACAGTGAACTTCAAGCTTGCATATCCACAAGTGCATTACACATTCCTACAGACAGCTCATGCTGGGTCATCAGAGGCCCTCAGATCAGGAGAGGAGAGGCAGAACTCTAGACAATGTGTGTGAGTGGTCCACATAGCCATGGTAGAAAACAAGAGCAAGGTCCGGCAGATTTGAAGAGTGCCGAAGAGGCACCCAGTACCATCCACACACAAGTCCCAAGAAAGTCCCAGAACAGTGCAGTTAGATGACTTACAGTCTCCTGCCACCAGAGAAGGGAGCCAGTGGGAAAGACTAAGGTACCTGGGGAGGTGGGACTCGCCTTCAGAAGCCACTCAGTGTACCTTCTCTAAAACTGAGGCCAGACTTATCAGCACACCCAACACTGCTCATGAAAAGACAAAGCTTCTCTGAAAGGCAGAAAGAGGCTTAACTTTCAGGTGCTGAGTGTGTTTGACTAAACAGGAATAACAGGGTTGGGGTAAAACGAGAACTTCAATAAGCTGATGGCAGAGAGGCTTTTGTTGGGGTGAATGAGGTATGAGTTAAAGAAGGGCAGGAGAGAGCCCGCCCAGGGAAGGGACACAGGAAATCAGAAAGGAATTTCCTCTAGAACCAAGGTGCAGAATCGAGGAGGAAAATGAGGGAGACCGGGATTCATGGAGAAGCAGCAGGCAGCTGCCTCTGGGGAGGAAAATTCCAGGTGGAGCAGCAGGGTCTGGCCGAAGCCCCCTGGGTCTGTGGCTCCTGAGAGGTGGATTTGCTGAGGAGAGAAACTGGGACCCAACCGTGAAAAAGAGCTAAGGTGATGCCAGAGCCTGGAGTTTAGGCATGACAGTGGCCCTGGCCCCATCCCAGAGGGAGGTGGCTGGTCAAACAAATGCTAACAGAGAGGGAAGGAGATGGGTGTGGAAGGGAGGGGAAGCCTCTTCTCCTTCATGAATTTTCAGCTCACACCTCTTCTCAGCTCACACCAGGAGGCCTGGCACAGGACAGTGAATCATGCCCAAGAAGCTGCCTTGTGGCTTCCTGCCTCTCTGCCTCCCTCCCTCCCTGTCTTTCCTCTTTTCTTTTCTTCTCTTTCTCTTCCTCCTTCCCTCCCTCCCTCTCTCCCTCTCTCCCTCTCTCCCTCTCTCTCTTTCTTTCTCTTTCTTTCTTTCTCTTTCTTTCTCTTTCTTTCTCTTTCTTTCTCTCTCTTTTCTTTCTCTTTCTTTCTCTTTCTTTCTTTCTTTCTTTCTTTCTTTCTTTCTTTCTTTCTTTCTTTCTTCCCTCTCTCCTCTCTCTCCCTCCTCTCTCTCCCTCTCTCCTCCCTCCTCCTCCTCCCCTCCCCCATCCATCCCGCCTTCCACCCTCTGATGAAATCCCTTTCTTTCTTTCTTTCTTTCTTTCTTTCTTTCTTTCTTTCTTTCTTCCTTCCTTCCTTCCTTCCTTCCTTCCTTCCTTCCTTCCTTTCTTTCCTTTCTTCTTTATCTATCTCTGTTTCTTTCTCACTTCCTTTCTCCCTTCCATGAACCTACAGCTCTATTCAGGAGAACAATGACTGTCCATTGACTTAACACCCACGATAACCAGGCACTGTGTGAAGTTGAAGTAGAACAAGGGGCTTTGGGAACCTGGTAGAAGGAGCTGATGGTGAAGGCACTGCCTGGGCATCAGGTTCAGGGGAGTAACACAGTGGTGGAGCACTGGGAAAGAAGAAGCTATTCACATGTCTGAGATGTAAGGATGTCTAGATTTCCCAAGGGCCACACCTAGTAAGAGAGTGTGTATTGAGGGCAACTCTGAGTTAGTGACTTGAGGTTCATCCTGTAGTGATCAGAGGAAATGGCTGGTGTATGAACCCAGGGAATCAGCACTCCCCTGTTCCTATGTCACCCCTGGAGAAGAAAGATACCACTGGAGGCAGGGTCTTCAGGGCTGAGCCACAATGTCACACAGATCCAGTCAATCCTGCCTGTTCATCTCAATGACATCTGCTATCCCTGATCAACATGGCACCTTCACAGTGAAAGCAACTTATTTCCAAAGCAGGCATTTTGCCTTCCATCGCCCCTCCCAGGTACGAATCCACTAAGAGATTGAAAATCAGATGATTCACTTATTCTGCACCATCCCCATGGCCTCCCAGAAAAACCAGAAATGTCTATCGTTATTTCCGTGTCCACTTCAACCATGAAGAAGTCCAATAGGACTAATCTGGCTAAAGATTAGGCCCCAGGCCAAGAGGCATGGCTGTTTCTGGTCCTAGCAGTATGGAACTTCCTCCTAATTTAATACATTGCCATTCAAGAAGCCCATTGCCCACAGCAACCACACCACAAAGGGTGGACAGTGAGTCAGGCCCAGGTGACATCAGTGTCAGAGTTTAAGTGACAAAAAATGTTAAGCCAGAGATATTTATCACAAAAGGTGGAATGAAGGTAGAGCAGTCTTTTAAAAAAATCCAATTTTCTTAAGGCAGGGCTCATTTCCTATATAAATATCAGCTAACAAGAGACTCTTCACCAGATCCCAGAAGCTGAACAGCTCGACCTTCTCTGCACAGCGGGTGAGTCTCCCCATTGGGAACATCTTAATATTCTCCTATCGATTCTTTATTTTGATTGAGACCTCTTTGCTATGCAATAAATATATTTATTTTAAATGCAATAATAACTTTTGTTTAAGGTGACCTTATACATATTTTGACTTTCCACTCAGATCACAGCTGTGGAACTTGGGCTCGGAAAAGGGGAGTGATTTCTGCAAAGGCTCGTTAAGTTAGCAAGACAATATACCCACTTCAAGAGTACTCTCCTGTCAACATGTATTGGAAATTTTTAATTTAGAGGGCATTACATTGGCAATTTTGATGATCGAAAGATAAGTTTTTCTTTATTCCATGGATGTATAATCCATCAGAAAACATATACTTGACTAAAATTTGCAAACATGGGGAGTGATTAGTAGAGAGGGAAAGCAGGTACCATGCTGTGGCAAAACGAGGAAGGGCCATGAGAGATGGGCATGTGTGGGGAGGCAGCAATGATGTGGAGAGCCTGCCAGAGAGCATGTGCAGTGGACACAGGGTGAACGGAGGTTCCCAGGTGGATTGTTGGAGCCTAAGGGGGAAGTTTAGATAAGAGTTTTCCTGGGAGAACTATGGTACTCTATGAGGAGGACATGAGTGAGTAGATTCTAGACTGCTGATGTTACAATCTTTCCAAATCATTGAAAAACTGAGGTGTCACATCAATCTTCAGCCAATGACACACAGCCAAGAGTGGTATTAAAAGTGATTTAATCAGGGCAGAGCAAGAAACATGCATTTCTTTTCACTTGATTCCTCAGATGAACCCTGAGCAGCTGAAGACCAGAAAAGCCACTAAGACTTTCTGCTTAATTCAGGGGCTTAGAGGATTCTTCAAAGAGTGTGAAAGCTTCAGAGTATATATTTGCATATTTGTATGTGTTTTCATGTTGTACGTAGGTTTTGAGACGTAACACGAAGAAAAGAAGCGTAGAGAAAGGCTCCACTTAAAGGATGTGGAAGAAGTCAACTTTACCTTATTCCCTGGAAGATATGTAGGGATCATCAAAGCATCCCATGATCTCAAATTCAGGGAAAAAGAAAGAAAAGAGAGGCTCTCAGTTCTGAAGGAGAATGAAATGACAAATATTTGTCATTAAACTGGGCTTCATTCCTATTTAATCAAAGCACTGAATCAGCTGTTTTGTCTCTAGGTCCAGCATCCTTTGAAGCATGAGTTCTTACCAGGAGAAGCAGACCTTTACCCCACCACCTCAGCTTCAACAGCAGCAGGTGAAACAACCCAGCCAGCCTCCACCTCAGGAACCATTTGTTCCCATAACCAAGGAGCCATGCCACCCAAAAGTTCCACAACCTGGAACCGCAAAGATTCCAGAGCCAGATTGCACCAAGGTCCCTAAGCCAGGCTACACCAAGGTCCCTGAGCCAGGCAGCACCAAGGTCCCTGAGCCAGGCTGCACCAAGGTCCCTGAGCCAGGCAGCACCAAGGTCCCTGAGCCAGGCTGCACCAAGGTCCCTGAGCCAGGCAGCACCAAGGTCCCTGACAAAGGCTGCATCAACTTTCCTGAGCCAGGCGCCATTAAAATCCCTGAGCAAGGTTACACCAAAGTTCCTGAGCCAGGCTACACAACGGTACCAGAGCCGCATCCAGTCACTCCAGGCCCAGCTCAGCAGAAGACCAAGCAGAAGTAATTTGGTGCACAGACAAGCCTTTGAGAAGCCGACCACCAGATGCTGGACACCCTCTTCCCACCTGCTTCTGTGTCTTCATTGTCAGTAGACCTTGTAATCAGTACATTGTCACCCCGAGTCATAGTCTCTCTCTTATTTGTACCCTAAAAATATGTACTATGAAGCTTTTGCTTGCACACACTCTGAAGAATCCTGTAAGCCCCTGAATTAAGCAGAAAGTATTAGTGGCTTTTCTGGTCTTCAGCTGCTCAGGGTTCATTTGAAGATTCGAATGAAAAGAAATGCATGTTTCCTGCTCTGCCCTCATTAAATCGCTTTTAATTCCAGTCTTGGCTGTGTGTGTCATTGGCGGAATCTTCCTCCTTCCTTGTTTCCCCATTGTGAGTCAGGACCTATAGACAGAGAGGAGTTGGTGTAGAAGTCATCTATCTAACCCCAGTACTGTTTGTTTCTATGGGTGTGTGGGGCTACACTTGAGTGACCCTGGAATGGAAACGGGCATTGTGTGATGGCGCACAGAGATTGTCACTTTGGGCAGCCACAGGCTCTCCTCTTGCACTGGACTGAGTCATGCCTGACTCCAAGCCACCTGTTCCAAGACACCTTTGATCCTCAGTATCCTGACAACAAATCTCCTGTCTGTTCCAAGAAAACTTTACTCCTACATATTTTGACTTAACAGTCTATTTTTCTTCATTTGTTTTACCTTCTAGATACCCCATCACACACACACACACAGACACACACACACACACACAGTCATTCACAAAGAGGCACATTCATTGTAAATAGCCACACACTCACATAATCACTCACACAAGCTCTACCCTCTCTAGCTCAGACAATGTTATTTTTTCTAAGCAACTCTTATGTGCAGGGATCCCTAAAGACAGACCAGCAAGAGAGAGAGAGGAGGATACACAGTGCCTCCCTTGTAGAATTTGCAGTCTTGTTTACGAGTTAGGATATTCACACCCTTCTAATACAAATGAGTGCACAACCATACATACACACACACACACACACACTTCCAGTGGTGTTCCAAAATAACCCTCAGAAATCTATTAAGTGATTTTTAAAAGGAGGTCACTTTAAATAGGGATTACAAGGAGAAGGAGTGCTTGATCCAATTTATGTGAATTATTAGCAACAAATTTGTCAGTTAGAGAGCAGGTCATTAAGCTACAGAATTTCAGGCAGGAGTAAAAAGAGAGTTAAACAGTACACAATAGAGTCCCTACATTTCAAGATCAAAAACTGATTTCCAGAAAGGCAGAGAAAGGTAATTAAGATCAATCAAAAATTATTTCTGAATCACACTTGGAGTCCAGTTCCCTGGGTTCCCAGCCAGCCCTCTGCTCTTTCTCCTGCAGCTTAGTCTTGATTTCAGGAGTGACTGAGAAAGTTTGTGGTCTCTGTTGAGCTGATCTGGAACAGCAGGGAGCTGTTTCCAGAAGCAGTGAAGCCAACATAAAATTTCAGAAGGTTCATTACAGTCACTGCGGGGTGAACCCTATTTTTCGAGAAGGTGGGTGGGCCATATCAAACAGGTGTGAGGTAGGTGATAGGTAGCACTTGCACAGTATAACATTGGCAAGAACTCAGAGACACCTGGAAACTGTAGACAGAAATTGTCCAGCAAGGTAATGAGTAGTTGACAAACTGGCAGGAGAGAGTAAAGTCACTCAGGTCTACTAGATATGTAGGTATTAAGATGACTTCATATTATTGCTGATTTCAATGATGGAAAAGTCTAGAGACAGCTCTAGGACCAATTACAATTAAATAGGCTGATCCAGAATGGAGAAATGCGTTCTATAGTATGCAGCTATTATGCATATAAAGTAGTTCAAACATTTTAAAAGGGAGTTTGGATGGGAAAAACAAAAAGATTTAAAGATTTCCCTGACCTTTGAGCCATGAATTCTATTTTAGAAATTTATTAAGAATTATTCATGCACGTACACAAAGATTTATACATCTAGATATTCATTTCAGCATTGTATCTAACAGTAAAATGTTGGTAACAACATAAATGCATACTAGCAGATAACGGCATCCAGAATTGATGGAGTGACCATGTATTAAAATTACACAGCATCTATTAAAGGAAATATTATAGAAAAATGATTCATCTTATTGAAAAATGATCAGGTTATATTAAAAAAGTAAGCCCCAAACAACATAAGCAAAAAAGAATCTTATGAATAATATATGCATGAAAGTGGATTTATATTAAAAAAAATCGTGATACAAAATTCAGCAAAATATAACTGGCTATTTCTTCCAGTTCACATGATAGTGTTCATTTGCTTTTTTGAATGGCTCTGTTTTTTCTTATTATATAATATGTAAAGTTATTTCATTTTTAAAATATTTTATCATGATATTAAAAATGCAGAAGTCAGTGAAGATGCTGCTGAGTTAAGGAAAAATGTGTGTCCTGCTTATTGAGAACATTCCTCAGGTTCTACACAGATCCCAGATGAACAGTACAATGGCGGGGGCCTCCCTTCCATGTTGAAGTAGGGTCCATGGAGATAAATGCTTCAACATGCCTGGTAGAAGGCTGATGTCAAGGAACCCTAAACCTCTAGAGTAAACGGAGAGGACAAAACTACTCTCCTATCTTCTCACCCTTTGTCCCTTCAGTCGTTCTTGCTTCTCTACAAAGGCTAGTTGGAAAACTTTACCGAAAAGTGCTTTGTAAGCACAGACTCCATCAAACCAACCTTAGCTTCTTAAAAACTGTCTGGTCACATCTGGGTCCATGTGTCATTTTCAACTATGACATTTCAGTCAAAGCCTTGCTTATATAACCAAGATTTTCAGTTATATCCAGTTACAAGAAGGACAAGTTCCTATTGGACATATGCAAATAATTATGTTGTCATGAAAATAAGAATCCTCAATGAGTGCCAAATTCTAGAGGGATTAGGCAAGGAGAAAATGACACATGCTCTATTTTTGTTTATAAAAGTAGAATCTAATTATTGTTGCAAGTTATGGATACTATAAAAGAGAAAGAAGTGTCTTATAATCCATTCAGAAAATAGAACACAAAAGAATCAACAATGTTTCAAGTAAAAATCCATATATAGTATAACAGTGTTTCATCAGTTCATCTGGTACCTGAAACTAATTTTTGTTCTGCCTGATCTTGGGTTAGCAGTTTTATCAACCCATCAGCTTCTCCAATAGAGTTCTGGAAATCCTTACTCAGTCTAGTGGGATGGTCTTAAAGTCATTTAAGCAATGCCATCAGAAGCCTGTTCCCTAGTGTATCTGTTATAGTTTTTTTTCCATGTGTCTCTGAGACTTTTCCTTTTTATTTAAGATTAAGCACTTTGGCTTGTAGCTTCTTAAAAACGTTTTCATACAGGAACCAGAGTAAAACAAAAACTATCTGTGGATGACAAGACTTAAAATGGCTATGGTTAAAGATATGATAACGTGTTTGGAATTTATTCCTTCCAGTGGGTTCTTGGTCTCACTGACATCAAGAATGAAGCCACGGACCCTTCCGGTGAGTGTTACAGCTCTTAAAGATGGTGTGTCCAGAATTTGTTCCTTCAGATGTTCAGATGTGTCCAGAGTTTCTTACTTCCAGTGGAATCGTGGTCTCACTGACTTCAGGAGTGAAGCTGCAGGCCTTCGCAGTGAGTGTTACAGCTCTTAAAGGTGGTGTGTTCAGAGCTGTTTGTTCCTCCCGGTGGGTTCGTGGTCTCCCTGACTTCAGGAACTAAGCTGCAGACCCTCGCAGTGAGTGTTACAGCTCACAGAGGTAGTGCAGACCCAAAGAGTGAGCAGCAGCAAGATTTATTGTGAAGAGTGAAAAAAACAAAGCTTCCACAGCATGGAAGCTGACCCAAGCTAGTTGCCACTGCTGGCTCCAGTGGCCAGCTTTTACTCCCTTATTTTTCCTTGCCCATGTCCTGCTTATTGGTCCATTTTATAGAGCCGTGGATTGGTCCATTTTACAGAGTGCTGATTGGTCCATCTTTACAGAGTACTGATTGGTGCGTTTACAAACCTTTAGCTAGACACAGGGTACTGACTGGTGTGTTTTTACAGAGTGCTGATTGGTGCATTTACAAACCTTTAGCTAGACACAGAGGGTTGATTGGTGCGTTTTTACAGAGTGCTGATTGGTGCATTTACAATCCTCTAGCTAGGCAGAAAAGTTCTCCAAGTCCCCACTCGATCCAGGAAGTCCAGTTGGCTTCACTTGTCAACAGGAGTTTAAGTAATTGACAAGGAAATTTGGTTGTCTCTGTAATAGATATTTAAAACAACAACCAGATTTGTAACTAAAATTATCCCAACACATACCCTGAGCAGTGGAGATACTGACAAATTCCTATGAATGTCATACAATTTCTGAAATAGTCATATTAAAAATATTTACCCATGCAAATATCATATAGAGAAGGTTAAGCATCTCTTCTCATTTGACAACACATTTAATGCAATTGAACTATGAAAAACCATTATTTTGTTTAAAATGTCTCTTTTTACAAGGTGAAAGAAAAAAATCTTTCGCGATTTTCCAGGGGCCCTCTGGGAACTATCAAGGTCAATTTCAGGTAAAGATTTCATTTCACATTTTATTTTGGGAAGGCAAAACTGCCAAAAATGTTAAAAGGGTTGAACACTTAACTAAATAAGATTACTGATCACTATGAGACCATACTTGCCTACGTAGTTAACCAAAGTGACTATAAAAAACTGCAAAAGTAACTATAGAAAGGAATCTTATTGTAAAATACCTTAGTTTTTTTTTCAAAGAGAGAAGACTTGGTTGTTTAAAATAGTCAGAACACGACAAAGGTCAACATAAAGCATAGCACGTCATTCTGATAAGGCACAGAACTTTTGTTTCCCAGGCAGTTACATACAAGATAAATTACACAAACCATTTTATAATCTCTCATTTTTTTCTTTTTTCCCTCTGCATTCCTCTAGTCAATCTTGGCTGCCACAATCACAGACAAAAAGCATAAGGACCTTTTTTTTTCTTACATCTGTGGTGGAAACTTTAGCAGTAGACAGTACCTGCTACAGGCATGTCAGATAGATGCATTTCCATCTCATAACGAGCAGGACATCCAACCACGTGGTTACAACTCCTGGCTGACTGACCACTGTGCAACTATAAACCTTGATGATCAAATGCAGGAAGGTCCTTGGTTATAATAGACACGATATGGCAGTAGGATGCCCAACATGCTACTGTGCGCTGTGAACAAATGTATATTACCCTTTTTGTTGTAGATGGAAAGTCATTAAACAGAGTCTAAAATTACAACCAGTTTCTGTTGGGGTT